TTTATGAGCAACTATGAACAGGGCCAATTTATATATACCTGACCATTTCCACCTGTAATCCCACATTTATCTTTCGCTAAACAATTGTCTTTTGTTTTAGTAATTTCTTAAACAATAGTCACTATTGTTTTCAAACTCTAAGATAACATTAGATTAAAAGCGAAAGACAATAAATATTTTTAATGTGTTGTAAAAACAAAAAGCGATTTATGACAACAATTAAGTTGTGTTTTCAATAAATATTAATATAAGCAATGATTTATTGATTGTATTGTGTTTTTCCATATATACGATGGCTTTCATCAGGAGATGTGTGAATACTTCTTCTTCTTGCGATCGTTTGTCTGTTTCGCATCTTTTCATGTATTCATAAGTTTGGCGTTCAGTCAGTGTAAGAGTTATATCATGTTATTTGAAAATATTGTTTCACTAACTATTTATATAAATAATATATCGACGCAATGGTTAGCATTACCACGAGTGAAGAATGGTTCCCACACTCCCCTCGTATACCCGGTCGGGGCTAACGTTCAAATCGATTGTCCCGCATATGACGATCAGACGGACCTATTGTTCTTTGAATGGAGCCGTCCTTTAGATGAAGCCATCGAAGAGACCCGAAGAATAAGAGTCACCGAAAAAGGTGTGCTTAAAATCAAGTCAGCCATCATTGCGGACAGCGGTGTCTATTACTGCAAAGCCATTAACGGCTTCGGAACCATTACCACAAATGTCACGCTTCAGATCGTCACCACCGAAGACCTACAGTCACTCAACTCTCCAATGGATAATCTGTATCCGCGAGACGACTACCAGTCCTTAGTCGAGCCAAACGTTAACTCTAATCACGAAATGCCAATCAATGAACCGGTGGTTCGCGAATCGCCAAAACCCGTAGTCATTAACAAAACGGCCGGACTATCGGTGCACATGAGTTGCACCGCTCATAGAGTCCGTTGGTATAAGAATGGACAACATCTGAGTCTAAGACATTTGCCCGACGGCTCCTATAAAAGCGGAGGTCTGTTAACGATATCAAAGGTGCGTTTGGAGGACAGAGGGAACTATACGTGCGTTGGGATGGGAGAGACGGGTCAACTCAACAATACGTTTAATCTGATTGTTTACGGTATGTCATCAACAAGTGTTTGTTTTAACATAAGAGCCCAAAAACAGTAGTTTAGATATGAATTACACTTCAATAACAATACAGATAACCAAAAAGGCAGAGAGAGAGAGAGAGAGAGAGAGAGAGAGAGAGAGTTTGGCAAAAATGACTTAATTCTTATCAGACATTTCTCTGTATAAATTGTGTTCACAGATAACCGAAAGCCAGAGTTAACGGGATTTAATCCAAGCAATAGTTCGGTCGTATTGGGAGACAAAGCTATGTTCCACTGCAACGTCTCCAGTGATACCAAACCACACATTCAGGTAATTATTATGACTGTATTATCGATATTATTGACACCACTCTATCTCTCATCCAAATGTGTTCACTCTCTCATCCAAAAAAGCAATCAATTTCACCAAATTATTCAGTTATGTTTAGATAAGCAGATTGAGTGACAATTCCTTTGTCTCTATTAGTGTTTTTTCAATCCCTAATCACAGATGTCTTCAATTAAGTAATTATTTCCCTGAAGTGAATTATTGTGTAGTAATTATTTGATAATTATTAGCTCTGATACTAATATTGATACGAAAACACAAATTTTATATAGAATATAATTATTTGCTTATATTTATTATTATTTGTGGTATTATTTTATATCCAATAATAATATGTGATTACATTTTAAGCCAAAACTTTATTTTCAATAAGTTTTATTATCACATCTCTATGAAAGACAATTATTTCATTTGTATTCCGCAATGAAATACTTAATTATTTTCCTTAAATTATTTAATAAACGATTAAGTATTCTGTTATTTCATGTATTGATCTCTTTTGCACACCATTTAGTGGCTAAAGAGTTATAAGAGGGCGAAGAATATGAATCCAGACGAGGCATTCAGAAAAGGCTTAATCAGAATTAAATCCAATTT